TGAGGGACCTGAATCTCTTCAGTCTCCGCAAGAGGAGACTGAGGGGGAATCTTGTGGCTGCCTACAAACTTATCAGGGGCCACCAACAGGGACTAAGGGAAAGGCTGTTCGCCAGGGCCCCCCTTGGAGTCACTAGGAACAATGGCCACAAGCTGAGGGAGGATAGGTTTAGGTTAGATATTAGAAAAAACTACTTCACTGTAAGGGTGGCCAGAGCCTGGAACAGGCTTCCCAGAGAGGTGGTGCTCTCACCTTCCCTGGAAATCTTCAAGAGGAGACTGGATAGGCACCTGGCTGGGGTCTTATGACCCCTCCCACCCCCAGTGCTCATTCCTGCCCATGGCAGGGGGTCAGACTTGATGATCTGTCTAGGTCCCTTCTGACTCATTGATTCTATGATTCATGTCTTTATTTGTAGTTTAACAATATACACTTAGTAACATTTTCAAAATGATTTAAACATTTTGCAGTGCAAATGTCATTGAAAGGGAATGGGATTTGGGCCTCTAAACGCTGAAGAAACTTTTGAAAACAGAATTTAGACTGCCATGATTTAGAAAAGTTTACTATCAAACGTTTAGGCTAAGTACAGACAGTCAAAAAGCCTGAGGCTGAATCCATTCAATCCTGCAGATTTCTCTGAACTGTCCCCTAGATTGAATCAATAAGCAAGTGAAATGACATTCACTTTTCAACCTGGAAAAGCAGCCAGACCCCTTCAGTGGCCCATACCAGTACCCAGAGGATGCCAGAGCAGGCCTCCCAGCCTGCTCACCACTGCACAAAGCCCAGAGACCAGCGATCCCCCCAGCCACATCCTCTCCTCAGCCTCTGGCCAGCTGAGAAGCAGGAATGGGGGAAACTGCCCCCACCCTGGCACCAGACCGCCAGCCGGGATTGCCCTGGCACAGGGGAAGGGGGAAGACCCCAGCAGGGAATTTCACCTTCTCTCCCCCATGCCCAGAGTTGGACAAGTCCCCCAGCCACTCCCCCTCCTCAGCCCAGGCAGGCTAAGGACAAGGCATGGGGGGAAAACCCTATCCCACCACCAGACCACTAGTTGGGGTCTCCCTGGCAAGGGGGGAGGGGTGATGCCCCCAGTGAGGCTTTTGTTCCTCTGTTCCCACCCTCCACCCACCCAGAGCAGGGCAAGTCCAGCTATACCCAGCACAGGTGGGGGGAAGCCTGAAGTAAGGGCTTTACTCCCCCAACCAAACTGGAATCCAGGCTGATCACCTGGTCAAGCCCCCTCCTGGGGCAGCAGGCCAGCTGAGGAGGGAGTCGGGGGAAATGTCCCCCACCCTCCAGCTGGTCTGCCAGTGGAGAAGGGTTGTGGCCAGGAGATCAGCCCAGTTCCCAGCTTGGGCAGGGGGAACAAAGCCCCCACTGTGGGCTTCCCCCCCCGCCTGCATTGGGCACAGAGCCAGGGGTGGGGGGGAAGCAGCCCAGTGGGGCTGGCTCCCAGGCAGGGGAGAAGCCCACAGTGGAGGTTTACCCTTCCCCCCCATAGGCAACTGGCGCCTCCCAAGTCTGGGGGGGGGCAATTCTTGCTCGGTAAGATATTTTCTTGTAGGTTAATGCTAATATATGATTTAAGGCAGTGTTTCTCAACTGGTGGGTTACAACCCAAAAGTGGGTCTCTTGGGACAATTGGAGCCAGTGGGTGTGCGTGCATCTACATAGGCAGATGCACATGGCCAGCATACAGTGAGGCTAGGTCATGGGAGCAGCCCCAGCCATTGAGTGCAGATAAGTGTATGGGGAGCAGGGGATGGAAGTCCCGGGGGCTGTCCGGAGGGCGTGTGTGCGCAGGTGCTGAGGACAGTGGCCAGATGCAGGGCTGCAGAAGGGCATGGGGATTGGCGAGAAGGTGCCTGACCTTTCAGCAGGGGAAGGAGGTGGGGGTGGTTCTTTGCAGTGGGGAGCTGCATGCCTGGATGGCTGGCACAGGGCCAGGGCCCATACACATAGGGGCCTGCACTCATGCTCCAGCCCAAGCGGGATGGGGTATCTGGAGGTCCTCTGGCAGGGCTGGGCAGGCACAGGGGACTGTGGATTGGGAGTGAGGGGCATCATCATGGCCCAGAGGGGGATAAGGGGCTGTAGCTTGGGGGTGAGGGGCTCTGGCAAGGGACTTTGGGCCGGGCATTGGCAGCGCCGGTGGGGTGTGGAACAGGACAAGTTATTGATCTTGGCAAATGGGTCCCGGAATTAAAAAGGTTGAGAGCCACTGATTTAAGGGACCTGTTCTTAATGTTCATCTAGCTCTTGTTAATAGTAGTAACAGTTGCTCACACACAAAGAGTCTGCTTATTCATGTTCCAATTAGGATACTGTAAGTCAGACATCTTAAAATAAAGATGCTTACTGTGTATAATTAAATAAGTGAAGATATTTGATTATATTTAAAGTTCCATATTCACATTTCCCACTATAACTTCAAGGAAATCAATGCTAGAATTTTCTTTAAATGGAAATTTCAGAATGGAATAAAATATCCCCCATTTTCTACTTTAATAATATGTTTGTGTCCCTTTATTTGGAAAATGCAGTCTTGTGTTCCTACAATATGTAGGAAAAACAACTTTGACTTCAATCTTAAATGGAAGATTAAATTCTAAGTTAATATTGATGAAAATGCATAGTGACAAATTAAAGAGAAAGCAGAATCTCTCATACCAATTGGCTGCAGTGCAACAATTATTCTTCAATAATCAAAAGGAACTAGCCATTCTAAAACGGTAACACATTTCACAGGTCTCTTACCCAAAATGCATCGTGAACATCAAAACAGTCACTCAGTTCATTGTGTTTCCTACATCCATAACCACCAAAATATATTAACCTGAAAGAACAAAAAAATTGAAGAACTCAATTTGTTTTAAATGAAAGTTCAGTTTAGTATTTTGATAAACTGCACCTTTTAATTCTTATTTCATTTAGAAATATGAATCAATTAACCTCTCCTTCATTAATCTGTAAACAAAGGAAAACATTTCATACTATATATATTGATGTTCTAGTTCCCTTTTAAGTTCTTTTGACCCTCCTGCTCTCCTGTTTTTAAGTTATTCTGTTTTTCTTAGTGTAAATCACGCTGAGGCTTTGTTGGGAAGGGCAGCATATTAACTAATTCATTAGCACACTAATTTTATGATGCAGGTAGAGTCACCATACACATAAATGTGCCTGACACAAACCTGCAAAAGCAAGGGAATGAATTTTGAAACTGAAGTACAGTATTAAGAGACATCATGTAATTGTGTCACTTCTTGAAAGCCACGGAATACAGAAATCAATTAAATGTTTATTCTGGTCCACATACATTGTATATCATCTTTGTTTACAATGGTGTTCACAGCAAACTGCCTTACATGCTATTTATCGTTTTCCTAATGACCAATGCTACTTTCCTATCTAGACTCTTCCATGAAAAATATAGTATCTGAAGTAAAATGTTTACATATTTTAGTTTAATATATTTAAATAATTAAAGCTACATTTAAAAACCAATTTTGCCAAGTAGCTCTTACAATGTAAGTATTGAGCCTTCGAAAAATGTACATATTAAATAAAAATATATACATAAATAATTTAAATCAATAAAATAAAAATGTGGCATAGTGCCTATTATCCAAGACCCTCAAAGCACTTCACAACTTTTAATTAAATCTGACAACACCCCTCCAAAGTGAAGTTATAGGTACTATTATTCCAGTTTTACAGAAAATGAAGGTACAAGTGAAGAAATCTTTCCAAAGCCACACAGGCTGTCATAATCAGAACTACAGTCTCCTGAGTCCCAACCTTGTGTTATAGCACTTCTTCCCTTTGATTAATAGGTATTAAAAATATTCTTGATATGTTACCTGTCCTTATACACCCAGCAGGAAAGCTTGTCACGTGGTGTAGGAGGTTGACCTTTAAAATTTGTAATTTTTTTCCACCTATAGGTTCCATTTTTTGTTCGCAAATTAACATAATATAGCTTAAAAGAAAAAATTAATATTTTCAGTATAAAGTAAATGATTTTGAAGAATCAAGCACAACTCATCAATAGCTGTGATGAAAAAGAGCAAAAGAAAATCATAATTATTCCTTAAAAAAAGTCAATGTAGCATGTAGTGACTAGGTTGAAAAGAGATTGATCCACTGACTAAGCATAAGCAAAGTACAGCTAGAAGCAATGAAATCTTGCACATCTGAAGTCACCTGAAACATGGATGTCAAACACAGGGCCCACAGGCCACATCTGTCCTGCAGAGCCTTGTCATCTGGCCCATGGGGCTCCCAGAGAAGTGCAGAATTTGGGGGTGGGGCAAGCTGGGATGAGACCCCTTGCTGAAATCCAGAATAAGGAACACCACTGGGGATGTGTGCCAGAAGTGGTGGGGGTGAGCAAGAGTTGCATTCATCCCCATGGCTCCCAGATGTCACCTGCCTTGTTGCCAGAGGTGGGTCCAGATCCAGTCTGCAAGGAGCTCTGTGGTCTAGATCTGGCCCAGGGGGCCAACCAGTTTGACACCCATAAACTAAAGTTTTGTAATTGACTTCAACAAGGCCAGTATTTCACCCTTTGTTTCTAACAACCTGAAACACTTCTGCCTGACCTAGTCTGGACTGTATAAACTAGGGGTTTAAAAATCAGTGCTTCTTGTAAATAAAGCATATGAACTTGTTTACTAATCTAAACTGGCACTGACACTAATGCTTCCACTGCATTAATAGACTAAAATAACTTATTTCCTATATTTCACTACTGATTAGCATTTAACAGTTGTCCACAATCATCAGGAAAACCAGCCATCCTATTAATATTGACTAATTATTATCTGACCATCCAAAGAAATAACCAACAAGCCACTACAGAGAAAAGAAAAAGTGAAAATGTGAAATAAGTCTAATTATAGCAGCAAACTTATTTTTCCACTAGAAATAGGATTAGTCTAGGGAAATACTAGCAAGTTTTAAAAATTGAAATCTTAACATGTTGGCATTACCATAACCCTTTCAAAACTAGCAGTGAAGACAAAGGGAGTTGTGCATCAGCTCAGAGATTACAGAATGAGATCCACAATTGAAAGCACACTTCTAAAATAAAACCAAAACTTCAGCCTTAGATTTTCTCTGTTTAACTGTAAAATGTTCTCTGCTTTGTTAGAAGTCTCTGTTATTAGTCATTCAATTACAATACACTCAGTATTAAAAAAAACATTACCCGATTACTGTATCCTTTATCATCAAATCCACCAAATATGTACAGCTTCCCATTAATGCAAGCTCCACAGCTTCCGGACATAGAGGTAGGTAACTCTCCTTCCATCAGGTGCATTGTCCTGCAATTCAACAAACTCATTAAATCTTATAATTAGGTTCCTACATAACTGTTTAGGAAATGCAGGAGTGTAAGCAATACACCTAAGGAATTTCCTGGGTTATCGAAGCCAATACCCTGCTATAAAAGGCAACTGTATCATGCAATACCAAATTTAAAAAGTTCAATTCGAAGACTTTTGTTCTCCAACTTTTCCTAATTAAAGTTTGTTCCATATTTTCAGTGATTTTATGGTCCTTCAAATGTCCAACTTAACTATATTTGTGCTTAGTTTATACTCATTTGCTCTTACTCAAACCTTGCCTTTTAGTTCTTATTAGATTGTGAGTTTCTTTCAGGACAGTGACCAAGTGGGACTACATGATTATATAGTCCCACAGTTGCTGTAATACCTTTGGTCGTATGTAATATCAGAAAGATCACTACAGTTGACTGTATTGGATTCAGGCTTTGTGGTGGAAAAACTATTTCTAATTAATCTTGTACCTAAAATGATTAAGTACAAAGCATATTGAAAAATATATTAAAGAATGTTATTAAGACTGCAAGGTCAAACACTCAACATTTAAGAAACACCACAGGATTAAGGCTGCCTGTGCAACCTTAAAGGACTTTTTTTGTGCCTATGCATTATGATCCAGTGTTTACATTTTCACATGCCGTTTTTTCCACAGAATTTCTGCCTCATTTAGTACAAAGGATAGACAGAACTTAATTTATGGAATCACTGATTTCCTCGTGGGGTTTTCTAATATTTAAATGTCCCTAAAATTGTAAGGTGATGAAGTGCATCATTTTACAGTGGGAAAATAAGGCACAGAGAGATTCAAGTAAAAATTATTCACTAATTTTGGGTGTCAAGTCTGACACAACTAAAACCTGGCTTTGCAGGATGCTTAGTATAACAGTGTTTGAATATTCAAGAATAGTTCCACAAACTTCAGTTGCTGTTTTGAGTGCTTTGTACTTCTGCAAATCTGACCAAGTTAAGTACCCAGAAACTTAGAAGCACAAATTAGCAAACTGCCTACCTTTACACAGGTTCTCTATATTACAGATAGGGACAGAATACAAGTTTATAGAAACACAAAATAGGCCTAGTTTATGTAGCTGAAACAATAGTCATTTTTACCATAAATAATAATAATCAGTCAAAGCAGCAGTTTGTAAATTAATAATAAAAAATGTGACTTACCATAATGCAGTGTCAATTTCATAGATCCAAAGTTCATCATTTGGTAAATATACTTCATTTTCTTCAATTGACTATAAAGAAAAAGGTAAGCAAAATATGTTTCAGATATGCTTCATAGACCATTACAGCTTATTACAAACTTGTAGCTTACAAAACACAGGGTATTCAATACCCCTGCCCTTTCAGCTCTGGGCAAAGATCTCAAAAGCAATATTAGGTCCTCGAAGAATGAACCCAGAAAAATGAGGGAGACCAGATCTGAAATTCCTGAAAAAACCTCTGAGAGAAGGTTGCAGTCTTCTGAATGGCTGACAGTCATGGATCCGGGTTTTCTGTTTGCCATGGAAAAATACAGATTTCTTCCTTAAAAAGGAGAAGAACACGGATTTTCCCCCTTTAAAGGAGAAAACCATGGAAAACTACGGATTTCCCTTTGCAGGCTGGCAGAATTCCAGCCTGCAAGGGGCTGCGTGGGGCTGGGAGGACAGAGACGCAGGGGATGCCACATGCAGCATGCCCCCGTGCAAATATGCATGTGGCAGCCAGGAAGTGAAGAATAGCTCCCTCCAGGTAAATCTGCGGAGGCACATGCGCCTCCCCCATTGCATGACCTGTGAACCCCCCCACCGCAACACCTGTACCCACACTCCACCTTCCTCATATACTGCAGGGCTGGGGGTGGACGGCCGCAGGTTGGGACCGAGGGACACTGACAGGGCCAGGGGATTGTGGGTCAGGAGTGAGAGGAACCTGCAGGGCTGGGGGGGCTGTGGCTTGAGAGTGAGGGGCAACAGCACAGGCCATATCACCTGTGCCTTCCCCCCACCCCCCCATACCAGGGCTGCTCAGTGCCACAAAGAGGGGTGGGGTGGGGAGGTGGAAGACAGCTGCAGTTGGATCCACGTCCCAGTGAGCGAAGGGGGCAGGGAGAGCTGATTTACCATGATAAAAGAAACAAAATCAAATGCCAAAATAAAGAGGTATTTAGAATTTATTTTATTACAAGGATTGAGACACTGTTTGGCTTACACACACCCCACCATCACCACCACCATGACCCCCCATATCCGGGAGCGGGACAGGTGGGCAGGGGCCAGGACCGTGGGCAGCAACACATACAGGGAGTGGATCACGTCTCTGCCCTGAGGCCTGAACCTGCGCTGTCACTGCCTGTCCAGCTCCCGGGTGCTGCCCCCTGTGCGCCCACAACCCTGTCCCATCTGCCCAGTGGAGCGTGCCCTGCCTGTGGTCGTCCCAGCTGACCTGCCTGTCCTGTCCAGCACTCAGCAGGTGCAGGGTGGACAGGCCCGGGGCAGAGAGTATCAATTCACCCGTACCCACCCAAATAACTCACCAAAATGCCTAAAGTGGCCGTCCAGCCAAAAGAATTGCCGACCCCTGCTTTTGTCCCTCTATTCAAGGTAAGAGTGACACCATACTTGGGGTCAAGGAGTTTTTTTCCATGGTCAGATTGGTAGACTGCGGGGATTTTCTGCACATCCTCTCCCCAGGATCTCAAGTGTATATTAACAACCTTGTACAACAGCAGGGCAGTGGCTGCCGTGCTCCCCCAGCTTTACCCATGACAGGTTGGGGTGTGACATCTTGTGCTGCATGGGGTGACGGTGTCATTTTGCTGAGGGGTTGGTAGGGTGAACATTCATCCGGTGTTATGGAGGACAGCCTGGTTTTCTGCTACAGGCAACCCGCGCTTAACGCTGTTTCACTTAGCGCTTTTTTGCTATAATGCTCATTTGAAATCGATCCCTGGTTTCACTTAGCGCTCAGCAAGTTTCATTATAACGCTCGCAGTCGCCATCTTGGGTCATCAAATACTTTCAGTTTCACTTAATGCTTGTTTTTTCAGGAACCAATTAAGAGTGCTAAGCCAGGGTTACCTGTACTCTGTCCTACTGAGAGGAAACCAGACACCTTTATGTCCTCTGTTTTCCTCCACAGACTTCTCCCAGTCTGACACAAAGGTGCCCTGTTTCGTCTGTATAGGACAGCAGCAGAAAACCAGCCTGTCCTCTATAAAACGGGAGGAATGGCCACCCCAGAGGTCGGACAGTAGGTTTGCCCAGGCTGGTTTGCACAAGGCTACCGCGGCTTCTGCAGGCCCCTTCCAGCCCCACTTCTCTTGGCAGGACCCCTCGGGGGGACCCGGGAAGTATGCGCACGGGAGGTGTGAGGTACAGTGTGTCAGTGGCGGGGATCTGAGAGGCTGGACGTGAAAGGAGACACGGGACCCCACAGACATGTGGAAGCCGGGAGTGGCCGTTAGGGCCGTTACAGCCGTTGGGCCGCGAACGTGCAGCTGACGCGATTCGAAACGCCCGCGCGCCAATCAGCGGACGAGGCGCGCGAAGCGGATCCCCCTCCCCCTCCGCGCCTCACACAGACCCCGCGCGCGGTGCCCTGCGGCGAGTTCGCGGCCTTACCACGTAGCCCCCCCACACGTAGAGACAGTGGCCGTCCACCACGGCGCAGTGGCCGCTCCGCTCCTCGGCTACACAGAACCGCTCGGGGGCCTCCGCCGCCATCTTGGGGGTGGGGACCGGCCCTGCCTCCGCGCTCGCGTCCCAGCAGCGCCTCCGCGGCCCGGGCAACTGCGGCGGACGGGAAGCGCGGAGGGTCCAAATGGTGGGACAGCCCGGCCCGGGCGGCGGCGCGCGCGCATGTGGGAGCGGCGCGAGTCCCGCGGGACTCTCCCCTTCAGGGGTGCCGCAGGGAGAGGGCGGGGCACCTCACGTCGCCCCAGTATTCCTCACGACTGGAGGGAGACTAAGCTACCACTTGCCAAGAGGGACTCGCGTCTGGCGAGGGTACCTTCAGCCCCAAAAGGCTGAGGACAGCCAGCGTCTTAGTTCCTCAGGGGGAGGCATGCAGGATGTCCACACCAGACCCTTGCTACGCGGTAGCTGAGTAGCCACGCGGTAGCTTAGCTCCCGCAGTGTTATGAGGCCACTGGCGACCGTCACAAAACTGTGCCAGCGGCGCTACCGCGCAGTAAGCATTCGGATAGTGCTTCGTGGAGGAAGTACTCAACTATGCAGTACAGGCAACCCCTGCTTAATGCTGCTTTGCCTGGCGCTATTTTGTGATAACGCTTATTTTAAATGGATACCTGATTTCACTTGGCGCTCAGCGAGTTTTGCTATAACACTCACGGTCATCATTAAAAACAGTTGCGGTTGCTGTTTCTGCTCATCAAATACTTTCAGTTTCGTTTCAGGCTTGGTTTTTCAGGAACCAATTAAGAGCGCTAAGGGGGGGTTGCCTGTAACTACAGCACATCAGTGAATGTGTAGACCAGGGGTGGGCAAAATGCGGCCTGTAGGCTGGATGTGGCCCGCCAGGCTATGCTATCTGGCCTGCTGGGCCCCTAAAAAATTTAGAAACTTAATATTTATTTGCCTTGGGCTGCTCATCATGCAGTCCTCGTTGGCTTGCCAAAACTCAGTAGGCGGCCCTCTGCCCAAAGTAATTGCCTGCCCCTGGTGTAGACGCACCACATTGTGTTATCCCGAGACCTTACTTGTGTTTCTTAAGCCCCCTTTCAGCAAGCAAGGAGTTTGTTGGAGGGGATATAACTACTGCAGTATGGCTAGGGCGCCCCGACAGCGGGTCAAAATGTCTTTGAAACTGACCAGATGTTGCAACTACCTAGTGAATGTGCCAGGGGCTTGTCCACGTGATGGCACTTCATTGTGTCTGAGCCGGATTGGAACTGCCTAGCCCGACGGCATGTTGACCACAATTTGCCCTGGCCTTTGTGTTAGTGTCACATCACCCAGCTTGGCTGGTCAGGCTTGTGGTCAAATGCAAGAGGAACCTGGGAAGTGCTTAAGTGGCTCAGACCCAGAGTCAATCTGTAGCAACGTGGATGAAATTTGGAAGGAAGGCGAACAAACAGAATCACAGAAAATTAGGGTTGGAAGGGACCTCAGGAGGTCATCTAAAATAGCAAGAGGGAAAAATCTGAAGGAGACACAAGGAAGTTTGTTAATCTGTGCACTACACATATGGTTAGAGTGTTGCTGCAGTTGGGTCACTTATGTAACAGGCTCTCTTCAGTCAAGATCCTGTTTAACTTTACAGGTATGAAGTCCTTTTCTTTTATGACCCAACATAAATATTGCAGCATGTGAAACATGGCAGCAAGAATCAGTCTAGTGAAGCCTACAGCAAGGAAGAGGGCATGATTAATAGGCTGATAAAACAATCCAAAAAAGGAAAGATACAGCATGGGGGACATGCATCACTGGGAATACCGGATTCCCAGCCAAAGAAACTTGTCACAATTACAAAAGAGCTGACTATGGGGAATAATGATGAAAAAATTATGATCAAGCCTTTTGCTATTTCACTGGAGGAGAAAAGGATGTTGTAAGGAATACTGGTAAAACACTGGAACAGCTGATAATACGATGGTAGAAGGGTACTGGTTTCTAACCTGGAACCGTAAGACATAAGAAAAAAGAGATACTTACATCACAGAGCTGAAGACTGACATCCGTAAGTAATTCTGAAGACATTCAAGATTCGTAATTAAAACAATCATCTCAGACAACATGATTATAGCATAAAGGACAGAATTGCGGAGAGAAATGCTTCCAAATACCTAGGGTGTAGGTTGTAGCCGTGCAAGTCTAAGGATATAGGCAGACAAGGTTCTTTGGGTGAATCTGATATCTTTTACTAGACCAACTTAAAAAGCTGGAAAACAATTATTAAGCAAGCTTTTGGGTTCAAAAACCCTTCATCAGACTAAGGAAGTTTCAGCAGTTCGTGTGCGCTCTTCCTGGATGGAATGAAAAGTACCAGCCCAGCCTCTGGCTTTTTTACTTTTCATTCCATTCAGGGAAAAAGCAGGACCTCCCATGCTCCTGCTGGGCCCTTC